GGGGAGACACAGGGGCCAGACGGAGGGGAGACACAGGGGCCAGACGGAGGGGAGACACAGGGGGCAGAGGGAGGGACGGAGGGGAGACACAGGGGCCAGACTGAGGGGGAGACACAGGGGCCAGACTGAGGGGGAGACACAGTGGCCAGACTGAGGGGGAGACACAGGGGCAAGAACTTTCTCTCTCAGGTCCGCTCTTCTGCCGGAGCAATAGTTACATAGTTACATAGTATTTGAGGTTGAATAAAGACATTAGTCCATCAAGTCCAACCTATTAGGATCTCATTCTAGGAGTACCCGTACCCCTGTATATTACGGTCCCTTAAGAAATCGTCCAAAAGTTTCTTGAACAATTCCACATTATTTGCTGAAATCACCGCCTGTGGCAGTGAGTTCCAGACCCTAACTGATCTTACTGTGAAGAACCCCTTTCGCCCCTTGTGCTGGAATTTTTTTTCCACCAATTTTAGGTGATGGCCTCTAGTTTTTGTAAAGGAGTTAATTTTAAACAGTTTATCGCTAATGTTGCTACCACCATTAAACATTTTGTACATGGAAATCATATCCCCCCTTAATCTCCTCACCTCTAATGTGAACATGTTTAAATTTAGTAGCCTCGTCTCGTAGCTCTGGTCCTCCATACCCCTAATTAGTTTGGTTGCCCTTCGCTGGACTTTTTCCAACTCAAGGACATCTTTTCTTAGTACTGGTGACCAGAACTGGACCGCGTACTCCAGATGAGGTCGAACCAATGATCTATAAAGTGGCGAAATTATAGACTTGTCCCTGCAATACATCCCCTTTTTAATACAGGACAAGACCCTGCTAGCTTTGTTTACAGCAGCCTGGCACTGCAAACTACCTTTCAGTTTGTGGTCTACAATGACCCCCAAATCCTTCTCCATTTCTGACTTCCCCAGAGGGAATGCCCAATAGGCATTCTGTTATTGGCTATTTAAATTGCAATAGCCATTAACAGAATGGTTATTGCTCTGCCCACTGCCTTCTGTCAAACAGCAGAGGAGCGAACCTGAAAGAAAACTCTCTCTCTCTTTTTGGGACTGACAGAAGGCAGGGGTGGACCAATAGCCAGCTTGCTAGTGGCTATTGCACTTTAAAATAGCCAATAGCAGAATGGCTGCCTCCCACTCTCCCAGATCTTTCAGGTCCGCTCCTCTGCTTTTTGACAGAAGGCAGTGGGTGGAGCAATAGCCATTCTGTTATTGGCTATTGCAATTTAAAATAGCCAATAACAGAATGGCTTTTGCTATAGCAGAGGAGCGGACCTGAGAGATAAAGTTCTCTTTCAGGTCTACTCCTCTGTGACTGCCATCAGGGAGTCGGAAAGGTTTTTTTGTTTTTTTTTTCAATTGTCTGCCGATGCTGGAATGACTTTGTGGGACTTTTTAAAAAAATGTTTAAATAAAGTAATTGTTAGACATGTGCGATTCGTTTCGTTCCGAATCAAAATTAGGAGATTCGGATGTATCCGAATTCTGAATTACAGCTAAAACTAATGCAGACGAATCCGAATTTCCGATTTCCCGAAATTTGTTAGCCGTAGTCTGGACGAACTTTCGTTGCAGCAAAGTGACATTAGAATTTTTTTTTACAGTCTGCAGAAGATAAAAAAAAGACAAGGTGGGGTGGCGGCATCTGGGTGCCCCCTTATTTAAACGGGTACCCCAATGCAAATAAGCTCCCTTGCCCGCAGACCCCCACAACCACCAGGTTAGGGTTGTGGGGAAGGGGCCCTTGTCCCCATAGGCATGGGGACACCCTTCTAATGCCGAGGGCAGTGGCCTGGTAAGGCGCTGGGGGGGTGCTCGGGTCAAGGGTCTGGTAGGAATGTTAGGGGGGACCCCACAGGTTTTTCCCCCCATTTTTTGGGGCTGGGGTTCCCCCTTAGAATTCCTACCATCCTTACAGGCCTAAAGGGTCTGGTATGGATTTTGGGGGGAACCTCACACACTTTTTTTTTGTTTTAACTTGGGGGGGGTGTCCCTCCTAACATTCCTGCCAGACCTAAAGGGTCTGGTATGAATTGGGGGGCAACCTCACGCTTTTTTTTCCAACTTCTGCAGGCTAAAAAAAAAAAAAAGTTTTTTTCCCCCTCAAATGTCACTTTGCTGCCACAAAAGAAACGAAATTTCGACCGGACTACCGCTAGGGATTTTAGTCCAAATACTAATCCCAAAAACTAATTCAATTTCGGATCCGAATCCGAAAAACTAAATAATGCAAAATCCGAATCAAAACGAAACTAAACTAAACAATTTTGTTGCTGGTGCACATGTCTAGTAATTGTCAAGAATTCACACTTTGTTTTTTGTTCAATTGAAGGAATTTTTTATAAGGTGTTGTGTGTTTTCATTTTTTTTTACTTTTCTGTATTTTAATTTTTTTAACTAACATATATCTCTGATTTGTTTTAGGAATATTTTGCACAATTTCTTTGTGTACTTATGCAGCAAGTGTCTCTTATGATCTGAATCGCTTGCCAAAATTTATTTATGGGCTTCCAATTGATGTGGAACATGGATACAGCTGGTCTTTGTTTTGTGCCTGGTGTAGTTTGGGCTTAATAGTGGCAGCTGGATGCCTCTGCACTGCCTATCCATTTATCAGAAGGACCAAGATTTTGCATCTAAAGTTTGCCAGAGACTCTTGTGTATGACAGAGACAAGTTATGACCCTCTTGCCAGTTTCAAGACATCCTGTGCACTGCACAACTGATGAAACCTGAGCTGCACAGACTGAACGAAAATTTGTTTGAATTATGTTTGAAGCACAAATACAGTAAGCTTAAAAGATTTAAGGAAAATAAAGCTTCCTGCTATGTACAAATAAATAGTTAATGATCCAGTGGCCTTCCATTACTCCACTGATGGCTCTGCCCTTGAGTCCCTTTGCCTGCCTGTGCGCTTCTGGAAACTACCCACTGGAATGTAACATGGTTGGATTATAAACTAAAATTGGTACATTTTTTTTAAGAGCAAAGTAAAACAAAATGTCCTCAAAAACAATTAACACAGCCTTCCAAAGCATGGAAATACTGTGAAATCAAGTGCTTTAAGACTCCATTATTTATGCAACATGTTTATGTGCATCAGATCTGTCAACGTATGAACTTTTCCTAGTTCAAAAACAACTTTCAACTACAGTACTGCTTCTATTTTTCCTCTTACTTTTGCTTGTCACCATTTTACAGAAAATAAAAAAATAATATATGTTTGGGAAACGGACCTTCAGGAGTTACAGGGGTATATTGTTAATCTCATGCTTGATAAACAGATCTTCAGGAGTTACAGTGATATGTTGTTAATCTCATGCTTGATAAGTTATACATTCAAGCTTTTCCAAAGCCATTTGAGCCCCTGTTCAATTGTTATATCCATTTTGCATCTTCTCACCTGATGTGATTTCTTAAAATGTGCAATTCCTGCTGTGCCATAGAAAACTGTGTTATAAAATACAGTGAAACTAATCAACGTTTTTGTGTACATTACCTATTAACCATGTTGTTATTTTCTTCTTCTAAGTTGTTTATCTTTATCTTTTGATTTTTATTGCAGCAATAATCCCACTGGATGTTTCTTTATAATGCTCTTATCAGTAGTATAATGGACACATATTGAGATGTTACCTATCAAAATATTAGTGCTTGCAATATAATATAATTAGAGTGATCATTGGATAAGCCAACACCCTCACTATAAAAGGGGGTTTAGAGCAGCTATACTGTAAATGCATTGACACTGCTGTAGGAAGAGGATAGGGAGAGATAAACTGCTAACTGTGAGAGAAATTTAGGGGCAGTTAGAAAACTGTGATTTTTTTTTTTAATACAGCAGTGGTTGCCCCCACCCCATGTTGACAGTTCTTCATTTAAACCAAAAGTCCTTGTTAGGACTACTATCAGTGTCAACAACTGATTGCTAGCTCATTGGGTATTTACCCCTTTTTAGGCTTGTTTCAATAGGGTCCTATAACACGTGACAAACGCAGAAAAGTAGTGCATGTAGCAAAATCTGCGACATACAGTACATTCTGTGTTTTTTCTTCTGGGTTTACCAAACGTGGAGGAGGAACAAGCGTACTCCCTACCACATTTGGGGTGCCATTAACTAATATTGGCAACACAAGGTCGCTTCGTGTTTGTGCACATTTTTTTGCGTGTTCCCACAAGGCCTAGGTGTGAACCGGGTGGCAGGATTCTTATTCTTCTGGGCTCTTTTCTGTAGCTTTAGTATATGGTTGATTTGATTTTTTTAAAGTGGAATCTTGATTCAGGGTGTGTATCTGGGGGTCTTTTGGAGGCATTTTGTTTTTTATTTTATGTTGATAGAGCCTTTTTGCAAGTTTAGGCGCTCGAGGTGCAGAAATTAACTTGTAGCTAATCATCTGTTTTTAATATAGATATTCTTTATTGTCGAAGAACAAAGTTCCTCAAATTTTTTACTTTCATAAAACAGAAAAACAGCAAGTACAGAACAAGACAGTGTGGCTTACAATATAAGAAGTAATAAAGAAAGTGATCTGCAATCCAGTTGCAACAAGTGTAGTTGGTATAAACTTCCAGCACCTCGCCCTTTCATGGCAGAGCCCACCTCTGAGAGCAACCTGGCCTGGCCTGACCAGCATACCTGTGATCTCTCCCAACATACAGTCTCCTAGTTGCTACAGCAGCAGTCCAGCCCACAACAAGCTCGCTTCCTGGAAAAAACTCCATCTTAGAGGTTGGGGGAAGGATCAGCCAACACACAGGGAGCCTGTTTAAATCTTTACCTAAAACTTCTTTGCACATACAATATAATACCTGCTTCTGTCATCCCAATTGCTTTTGACAGCACGTCTATTATTCAAACACACAGAATAGTTACCAACGATAGTAGAGAGGAGGTTAGTCGAGGTGTAGCCCAGAGCCACTGGAGAAGTATTGTCCAGAGTCCTGCATCCTAAAAGCATGTGAGTAGTTCCATAAGGTTAGTGCTGCTCCTGCCCTCCTTTGCTTCCCCCCTAGGGGGAAGATGAACAGATATCCACAGCAACTACATGGTGGCAGGCCTGGTCCTGTGCTTTCCCATGGACCAGCCTTCTGCTTCTTAATAATTACTCTGCTGCTGCTGACTCTGAACTTGACTGGGTGGCCCCCACCCAAAAACTATATAAATGACTCAGCCCTGGACCATAGAGCTTCCTCAGGGCAGAGCTAACTTCAACTATACAGTGACTCCCTCAGTCACTACTGTACCTATGGGCACATTTAGTGGCAATAATAATAATGGACACACTGCAATCCTCAATCCTGCCCACTACCCTACAGTCGTAAAAAAAAAAAACATATTACCCATTGGTGCAGTGTTAATTTACACCAGAGGTGTCCTACTTGGCTACCTGTGCAGTGACTTCATCACTGGTACTATGCAAATGCTGTCAAGTAGTCAGTCCACACAAAAATGCCAACGTGTTTTCCAGGACTAAGTGCCACCCCTGTCATGCAAGGGTCCTAAAACAGTCCTGTACAGGCACCTTCATATAAAATATAAAAGTATTTGGACTGCACTCTGCAGCTGGCTCACCCCACCCACCATAGGCAAGCCACGGTTCCAGCCAAAACTTTTTTATTTGTTTTGGACACAGTCTTTTTAAGATGGCTACAAGAAGGCTGAATCAACTGTTGGTTTCTTGTATCTCCAGGTGACTCTCTGCATAAACTGCAGCTTAGGCCTGCTTTGACAAGAATGTTGCTTGTCCCATTATGTTTTGTGCAATTTAAAATAATGGAAGACTTCAACAGATTTTGGGTCTAATAAAGTATGGCTCGACAGTTGTAGAGGAATATGAAGTGTCGCACAGCACATATGGTTACGGCGCATTGCAGTTCACATAAAATATTAAGTTGCAGTGCCTATAGTTTATTAGGTGTAGAAACCATGATCTTGACTGCCCTGCACCATCATACTCTTGGCATAATATTGTACAACTCCATTGCACCAAACTAATTTTCTGAAAACACATTTATTTGATGCAGATTGGGCAATTTTTGTGCAAGATGTCTCACTTTGGCACATTTGGTGCACTAGTTGCATCTTCCTATTCAAAACCTTCAACTTGAACAATTATTTAAGCAGTCCACTAATTAGTGTTTTATGCACCAGATTCAAGCAAAGGGGTAACCTATCCTGTTGACTTAAAACTAAAATAATAATGGTTCTTAAAATTGCTGCTTAAGTTGTGACTTTACACAAAGGGCAAATAATGCACACCCTGCCCCCACTTGCCACTGCTTAATTGCATATAAACTAGGGATGCACTGATACTAGTATTGGTATAGGTGCCAATGCAGAGTATTTGGGCGAGTACCCATACTCGCCCAAATGCTCCAATGCTTAGCCCAATACTTCCGGTATCAGGAAGCCGGGCAGTAACTCATTACACGCTGCCCGGCTTCCTGATTGGCCGGAAGCTTGCTCCATGCTCCCTCATCACTTGTGTTGAGGGAGCATGGAGCCAGCTTCCCGGCCAATCAGGAAGCCAGGCAGCATGTAATGACTCGCTGCCCGCTTCATGCTTCCTCGTCACCTAGTGAAGAGAAGCATAGGGACGGCTTCCCTGCTAATCAGGAAGCTGGGTGGCGAGTCATTACATGCTGCCTGGCTTCATTAATATAACTTCCGGTATCGGTATTTGGTGCAAGTGCCGGGAAAAAAAATATCGGTTCTCGTACTCAAAACCGAAAAACCGGTATCGTTGCATCCCTAATAAAAACCCAAGAAAAAATGCAATATATTGGAGCATACCTGTCCTTAGAATTAAACAACGTTTACAGCCTTTCTATCCATTATTTTTATCTGGTGTTCCTACCAGTAACAAACTAAGAGGTCTATTTATACATGTTTTCACACAAGGTTCAAACAACTTTCACACAAGGTTCACACATGAATTGGGTAACTGTAAGAATCAGAGGAAGCTATGTACAGCACTCTTGTGCCCACTCCCTTCAGCCTTGATTTGCCTACATTGCACACAAAAAATCACTGAGTATGTAACAATGTATGTAAAAAAAACAGAAAGCTTTAATTAATTTTTTTTTAGGGAAGGCAACATATAAGTAAATATACTGTATAATGTATGCCTCCATTTTTGTTTACTTGGTACTTTTTTGGAGCCTAACTCCAGACATTTTGGTCTTGTTTTTTAGTTGTGGAAAGAGTTAAAATGTTTGTCAGGGTTCAATTTCTGTACTTGACACCAGTGAGGAGATTTTTCCCTCAATTCCTCTTCCTGTAAAGCTTATCACTGGGACCGGAAGGTATAGATCAGGGGTAGTGAATTAAAATTCAAGGTGGTCCAGTGAGCAAAATTTTCATGGAGGTCTGACTCGCTGTCTGGACAGAACATTCACTCGGTCGGTTTCTGGACCTACGGTCTGCCATTTTTGGCTGCATTCACACCAGCAGCTGCACTACAACGCACAGCTGCTGCTGTGTTCCCAGACACAGTGCGAATGCATCAATCCTAATGCATCGCACTTTAAAAAATGTTTTCGTTAGAACTGTATTGAAATATCACAAGTGAGGTTTCATTAAGTTCTATATGCAAGGGCAGTGTAATGCGGTCGTACCACATTGTGGCTGGCTTCACTGAAAAAAAGTGCAGCATCCATCAGAGTGCTTCTTACATCGGTTCTCCCCATCAAATTGCCCCCTTACATCAGTTGTCCCCATCAGAGTGCTCCCTTATTTTTGTATTTATTATAAAAGAGCACTCAGATGGCAGCAGCTAATGTAAGGGTGCACTCTAGGGGGACAACTAATACATAATTGTCCCCATCAGAGTGCTCGTTTAAAATGCTGCCGTCACATGTAGGGCTTGAGGAGCAGGCAGGCAGTTCTGGGAGTGGATGACAGGCAAGGATGAGAGGAGGAAAGAGGCAATGCTGAGAGGATGAGAGAGAGCGCGAGGAGAGGATGACAGGCAGGGATGGGAGGAGGAAAAGGCATGGATTGGAGGAGCTAAGAGGCAGGGCAGACTTCAGGCTGCAAGGGATACTCTTCTATCTGCCCTTAATGCTGAGCGTGGAATAAAGGTAATGTCCTAGCAGCCAATGACTGAGGAGCAACGGGGACCTGCGCTGGGTTATCCGCAATCGCGGTGCGGATAGAACCGCTGATCGGTCCAGATCCGGACCA